CCAAAAACGTTAGATTATATTAAATACAAACCTTCGAACACAATTTATCAATAAAATGCAAGAATATATAAATTTGCTATTTGAATTATTCTTCATTTTTATCTTCAACTAATCGTATAACATTAAATTATAATCAATTTAAAATATTTAAATACATAGATGGAATATAAAGGTACCTTTTAAAATTATCAGAATATTTTAATATTTTAGTTTAATCACAAAATTAAACTCATCCACGCATCTCATCTTGTTATCTCAATCTCTATCGACATAGTCCAAATGTCTTGACGTCATTCGGGTCTCGAGATGTCATCAGTCATCACAACTCGTTTGGTCATTCCATCGAGAACGGTCCCGCGTGTCGCTCATCTCATTGAGACTTCCCGAACATCCATCCATCTAGGTTCTTGTTAAGAATGAGATAGAAAATATAATTGGGAAGGTGTATATTATCATTGATATTGATATTGATATCCTTTAAATAGGATACAAGCCAGTACAAATGAGAAAAATATAAAATAATTAAATACTATAATAAAATAAAATATACTATAAATCAAATCATAAATAAAGAATATTATAATATAATATCTTAGATATATTCTATAAATAATATATACTCTAGATATTATATCTCAATAGTTCTATCAAGGCATTGGCCCTCCCATACCCATGTTATGTCATTTACAGATACCATGTCGGATAGCGGGTGTATGTAGCAACCTTCAACACGCGGGCTGGAGCGCAATACCGGCGTACCAGTGCCGCCCGATATTGTCCTTGAAAAACCCATTTCAAAGGAAGTCGCCCGAGACACTCCTCTCGATACGCTTGCCTACACTGTGATACACGTATGTGCCACAGAGTAGCTCACTTAGGCCACAGGGCCTCGGGTCTATTTACTAAATTATGTTAATCCGGCCACAACGTTTTGTGTAAAAATAATAATATCTCAATGATTTAATAAATATATAACTTCAAATTTAAAATGTAATTTAGTCTATATTATTTTTTAAAAAAATTGACTTAGTTCATAGTATTTTAATGTTTTTAATATAGTATGTTACGAATGAATTATAAAATTAGTTCACGACAATATTTAATAATTTTTTTTTCTTTATCCAACAAACTTTATCATAATACAAACTTTCATCGTCCCATCTTCTTTCTTCCTTGCTCGTTGCATCAATCTACATGTGACCAGATCGATTTAAAATGAAAGGAAAGTTCTCACAATTTGGTATATGATTTAAGATAAAGACAGATTTGAAACGTTTCGAATCTGATCTATAACGTTAGTCAGCAACAACAATGACGAATACATTCATAAACGAGTATAGAGAGAAAAAAAAATTGTGATAAACGTGGGCACATGAAATTCGCCACAAAAAATAGATAGAAGGCAAAAAAAAAATTAAGAGAATAAAAAGAAATATATCTAATTGCTCGTAATCATATTATAAAAAAAAATTAATTTTTTTGTGTGGCTAAATTAATAAAAATACTCTCAAATTTTTTTATCTGGTTAAAAAAATACCATAAATTTGTAAAAGAAAAAAAAAACTTACTATTAATTTGAGATATAAACGGTTAGTTTTTTTATTTTAAAATACCCTTAAACTGTATTTAAAAATACAATTTTTTTTTACGTAGGTATACTTATAAAATTGTAAGAGTAAATTAACATTCTGTATAAAAAAAAAATTGAAAAAGTTAAAAAAATTGAAATCATTTATCCACACTTTATAGATTATCTCGAAACTTATTATTATTATTTTAAAAAATTTAGGTGTATTTTTAACTGTTGTTAGAGTAATTTTTTAATTTTTTTAATTTAAGAATATTATTGAAAATTTTGAAAGGTATTTTTAATAATTTAATTTTGTTAGTAATATGTTTTTAAATGTTGTACCGTTGTTTTCTAATTTAATACCCATTTATTGACAATTGACTTGATAAATTTGTTCATACTAAATATTGTATGGCAGATATTTAAGAAACCTTTTTTTAAATAAAAAAAACGACATTTTTAAATTTTAAATAAACAATAAAACAAACAATCTTTTGTTTGCAATATAACTAAAATTTCTGAATTTATTATCATTTCAATAATACCATTAATGTAATTATTAGAAAAAATTAATTGATCAATTATACAGTTTATCTTAATTTTTACAATTGAAAATTATATATATACATATATATATTTAATATATGTTGAAAATATATTTATATTAAGCGGGCGGAAACGAAAAATATAATTTCATCTCCGACCCCATTTATCCAACAGAAGAAAAAAAAAATCCCACATCCTCCTCCATTCTCCGGTCTAATTGAGGAATTTCCTCACTGTTCGTAATAAAATGGACATCTTTAATTAGAATTGGATGAAAGATTCAAACTCGAAACAAGTAATGCAACAATAAAAAATTGTGTGGTGATGGGTCTCAATTTTTATTTTTGGTCACTGACACACCATTCTTGATTCTAATTTAAGCCCGTTGTTTTGATGAAATTCTACTTTATATGAGTGTTTTAATGTATAGTAACAATGTATAAGGGTATTTTTGTAATTTTGCATCGTATAATTAAAGAAATAGAATGTCCCTTCACTCTTCCGATAAGATATTTTTAAAAAATATTTTACCTGATTAGGTTGTGTTCAGTTGTGAACTCTGTTCGGGGTTTAGGTTGAGTTCGGTTGTGAACTCGTAATAGGCCAATAAAACATGCTTCCCATTTCTTCCTTCTTCTTCATTATAATTTTATTAATTAAAATATGTTATGTTATTTAATATATATTAAGACTATGCTTATAATTCAGTGGTCAACAAAACATGCTTACCATTTCTTCTTCTCTTTTTATAATTAACATTATTATTAATTCCAACTGTGATTTAATAATTAAAAATGTGTCACATTATTTAATATTAATAAGACTATATGCTTATAAATATGCTCTCCTTGGTTCTATATGTATATCACCCATCTATGGCGAATAAGCCTTTGATTCTTGCCTTCTTCATCTTCCTTCCTCTTTGCCTTTCACTTCCATTGCCCGAACTGCCCGAACTGCCCGAATGGCCCGAACTGCCCCAAGTTTCTCCCTTTGCATTTCTCAATGACCTCCAAGGGTGCAAGAAAGGTGACAATGTCAAAGGCATATCCAAGCTCAAGAACTTCTTCCACTATTACGGTTATTTAAACCACGGAATCAACGTTACTGGTTATCTGAATGACGTCGACGATGTCTTTGACGATCCCCTCGAATCTGCCATCAAAACCTATCAACGATACTTCCATCTTAACCCCACTGGAACCTTGAATCTCGAGACGATATCCCAACTCGCAACTCCTCGGTGCGGCGTTCCAGATATTGTCAATGGAACTACAGGTCGACTATTGTTTGAACATGATGATGATGGTCATGTCCATCGCTACCACCTTTCCCATGTTGTGTCTCATTACGCTTTCTTCCCTGGAAAGCGTAGGTGGCCATCTTCGAAATATCGTCTCACGTACGCATTTCTTCCCGGTACTCGTAAAGATGCTAAAGCACCGGTGACTCGAGCATTCGCTACGTGGGCTCGATACACTCATTTCAAGTTTTCTTTGACTACAAACTACAAAAGAGCTAACTTGAAGATTGGGTTCTATAAAGGCAACCATGGAGATGGGTATCCATTTGATGGGCCCGGTGGGACATTGGCTCATGCTTTTGCACCTACTGATGGGAGGTTCCATTATGATTCAACTGAAAAATGGGCTGTTGGGGCTGTGAAAGGGCGATATGACTTACAAACGGTGGCTTTGCATGAGATCGGACACCTTCTTGGGCTCGGACATAGCACGGTTAAAAACGCTATAATGTATCCTTATATCAAGTCCGGGACGACCAAGGGCTTGAACGCCGATGATATTAAAGGAATCAAGGTTCTATACAACAAACGTTAAACAAGAATCTCCAGAATGATATGATATTGTTCACTTTGAGTATAAGCTCTCGTGGCTTCCCCAAAAGACCTTGAACCAACATGATCATTCCCTAAATTAGCTAACGTGGGACATCCGCATCTATATCACTCGTGAGATAATTTATTGTATCTTAGTATTATATTAAATATTCTTGGTTGTTTTTCGTCGTTTATGTAAACGTGTCTACTAATGCAATAAGTATTCAAATGTAAGATCGGGGTATTAAATTTTGTCGTTATATATTTCCATATTTTCGTGGGTTCGTCAACGATTTAATGATTAAATTTATATGTTTTTATTGTATTGCCAAATATAAAATAAATAATAAGAAATTAAAAATAAAATAAAATAAAATATATTTATGTTATTTGAAATTTGAATAAATAACTAATTTAAAAATGAACACCGTTCCTCTTATCTGAATAAATTGAAAATAAAACAACAATTGTTTTCTGTACCCTAAATGTTATTAATTTAAAATCTTTAAATTTTAATATTTTAACTTAAAAAAATATTAATTTTCTACAATTATAATTAATTACTTGTAATTTAATTTTGAATACAAGTAATTGATTAAAATTAAAGTTATCAAATTATTATTAATAAAAATGAATTAATATTCTATTGTAACAAAGGTATAAATCTATCAATAAATTATTACAATGACATAATATTTATATACTTTTCGAATATTTATAATTAAAATATTCTTTTTATTAAAATCATTTTAAAATATAAATTGCGTTCGAATACTTATAATTAAAATATTTTTTTTATTAAAATTATTTATACTAGGATAATTATCGAGATTTATTACCAAATAAACTCAAAATTCTAAAATTTAAGGTACATTAATCACTTAATTTTTTTTTTTTAATAATATGATCTAATAAAAATATAATAGTTAATTATTTAAAATCAATTAGGGTAATAGTTTTTTTGAAAATATGAGGTCACCGAGTCTCGTTGATTTCAAGAGAAAATCGAGTGAAAAGGGGTATCATAAAAGAGCGAGAAAAGGTGGGAAGAAAAACAGTGAGGTCACCGAGTTTTGTTGATTTCAAGAGAGTTATTAATGAGTTTGGTGGAAGTTTGATCCTTCCCAATAATGGGTTTAAACTAAAACTAAGAATCAGAGGGGTTTCAAAGCATCCCAAATATAAGTGTGACAGGCAGTGAAGCAGAACTGCTTTGATCAACCAGTGGGTCCAGGAATCGGGAAAAAGACGAACTCATGATGCCTTTTTGATCTCCTTTGATTGTAAGTTCCCATCTCTCATTGGTTATTTGTTCAACTTTTGATTTAGTGACTACCTTTTTACTTTCATTCGCTTTAGTTAAGTATGAACTTTACTTGAATACCCATATGAATTTCTTTGGTTCTTATTCTCTTTGATTTTTTTGTTCTGTTTGATTCTCGTTGGGTCCTTTTTTTCAGTTCGTATCTGTTTCTGGGTCAGTGGGTTGAGTTTTAATCGGCATTGTGTATTGATTTTTTTGGTTTTTTTGTTTTGGGTGTCTGCATTGGATCTTCAATGTGTTTGTAGATGTGGAGTTAAGAGCAGGGGATGGCGTCGTATATGGAGTTAGAGAGCGAGCAGCTAGTGGCTGATCCAATACCATTTGCTAGAAGGTTTGGTTTGTGCAATGGTTTCTTTTTGGCTTCATTATGGTTAACTTTACCTTTATGTTATTAGAAGATTTTGAAGGTTTCTTTGTTTGGTATGTTGGATTGTTGAAGTTTCGTTGTTCCTTGTATCTTGTGATGGGTGATTATTGCAGTTATCAGTTGGAAGGATTGGAAAAAGCACTTAAACAGAACACGATAGTGTTTTTGGAAACTGGATCTGGCAAGACTTTGATAGCCATCATGCTTTTGAGAAGCTTTGCTCATCAGCTGCGCAAACCTTCACCTTTCTTTGCTGTTTTCTTAGTTCCACAAGTTGTTTTGGTCACTCAAGTATGTACCGATTCTCTCTCTCTCTCTCTAGATCACAAATGGAATGGCCGAGAGGAGGGGGTGGACACGAGGCGGTGTGCCAATAAGGACGTTGGGCCCCGAAAGGGGTGGATTGGGGGATCCCACATCGATTGGAGAAGGGAACGAGTGCCAGCGAGGACGTTGGGCCTTGAAGGGGGGTGGATTGTGAAATCCCACATTGGTTGCGGAGGAGAACGAAACATTCTTTATAAAGGTGTGGAAACCTCTCCCTAGTAGACATGTTTTAAAAACCTTGAGGGGAAGCCCGAAAGGGAAAGCCCAAAGAGAGGACAATATCGTCTAACGGTGCGCTTGAGCTGTTATAAGTATTCGGTTCATTTTCAATAAATAAGTAGAGCTTCCGAAAATTTAAGGATTGAAGGGAACCATAAGCAAACATTATGATTAATGTTTCTTGGAGGTTCATTTTCCCACCATTCACAGTTTTATCCATTCTTTTTGATAATTGTAGCAAGCTGAAGCTCTGAAGATGCATACCAACTTGAGCGTTGGCTTGTATTATGGAGGTATGGGTGTAGACTTTTGGGATGGTGAAGTTTGGAAGCAAGAAATAGATAAACATGAGGTACTGAATCTTCTTATTTGGGTATCATTGCTTATTTTAAATGTTGACTGTTCATCCATTAGTTGTTGAAATATACTCTTTTTTCTTTTTGTTTTGTTTTTTCTTACTGAAATGTCTAATAAAATACCATAGACTTCTTAATTTGTGATGTCCACATTGGTTGGGGAGGAGAACAAAATACCATTTATAAGGGTGTGAAAACCTTCCCCTAGTAGATGCGTTTTAAAACCTTGAGGGAAAGCCTGAAAGGGAAAGCCCAAAGAGGACAATATTAGCTAGCGGTGGATCTGGGTCGTTGCAAATGGAGCAAAAAATCGGACGATGTGCCAGCCTTCTTGCTGTTCTCCGAAGGGGGTAGATATGAGGCGGTGTGTCAGTAAGGACGCTGGGCCCCGAATGGGGGTGGATTTGGTGGCGGTCCCACATCGATTGGAAGAAGGAAAGAGTGCCAGCGAGGACATTGGGTCCCGAAGGGAGGTGGATTGTGATGTCCCACATTGGTTGGGGAGGAGAACAAAACACCATTTATAAGGGTGTGAAAACCTTCTCCTAGTAGACGCGTTTTAAAGCCTTGAGGGAAAGCCCAAAAGGGAAAGCCCAAAGAGGAAAATATCTGCTAGCGGTGGATTTGGGTCGTTACATAATTAATGGCCATTTTCATGTTAATGTCATCTTCCATTTATATAACATCCCATCTAAATTCTTGTCAGCTCTTGGCATGGTACTGCTACCCTTTTTTTCCTAATGTATTTTCTACATCTTAGGTGCTTGTGATGACTCCTGCAATTTTGCTAAATTGCTTGAGGCATAGCTTCATTCAGCTAAGCATGATAAAGGTCTTAATAATAGATGAATGCCATCATGCCAGAGGCAAACACCCTTATGCTTGTATTATGTCGGTAAGTTGCATATATTGTTATCATGCTGTCTAATTTTGTGGAATCTTGGATAAAATAGTTATGCGTTTTTGCGTTTTTTAAGGTTGATTTGTTAAAAGTCAAGTCTTTTATGCCAAGCCATTGATATTTATATAGCATGCCAATCTTATAGATATGTCTGTTAGTGTAAGATCTCACATCGGTTGGGGAGGAGAACGGAGCATTCTTTATAAGGGTGTGGAAACCTCTCCCTAACGGTCGCGTTTTAAAAACCTTGAGAGGAAGCTTGAAAGGAAAAGTTCGAAGAGGACAATATCTGCTAGTGGTGGGATTGAGCTATTACAAATGATATCAGTGCCAAACACCGAGCGGTGTGTCAGCGAGGACGCTGGATCCCAAGGGGGGTGGATTGTGAGATCCCGGTTGGAGTGGAAAACGAAGCATTCCTTATAAAGATGTGGTAACCTCTCTCTAACATATACGTTTTAAAACCTTGGGGGGAAGCCCAGAAAGGAAAGCCCAAAGAGGATAATATTTGCTAGCGGTGGACTTGGGCTGTTACAGTTAGCTTAACTGATTATTAATTGTTAGCTTAACATAACACAACATTAATTACACCAGCACTAAACGTTTCGACCTAAATCAATATCCTAATAGTTTAGAGGAGAGCACACTTTCTTATTCCTTCTCTTCACAATTAATTATAACTAAAGCACCTTGTTTTTTCCTTTTGAATTTTTTTCATTATGTTTTTGGCAGATGTGAAAATGTTGATTTATATCTTGATCATCTACGCCTCCACTTTTGAAAATGCATTAATAAAAATGACAAAAATGAGTAATTAGGTATTACTAAACATAATGGTTACCTGAAGTACAAAAAATTTGATATCTATCAATTATCACTTTCTTAAGTAACGATTCTAACAAGTCTTTAAATTTGTATCATCAATGTTTTTCATTCATCAGTGTTTAAACTAGAAACTTGATTTGCCACAACTCATTATGTATTGGCATTACATGCATAAACTTCCATAATTTTTTAGAATAAGATAAGGCATAAATACCCCAGACCTTAGTGGTCTCATAGAGGTGCAAGCCTCATCTATAAGACGAGTAAGCCGCTTATGATTCAAAGAAGAGGTCATGTTACAAATTAGTGAAATGATCAAAGAAGGCGTAAGCATCAAGGCTAAAAATTTGAGCCTCTCAACGGGAGGGGTTTCAAGGTGTCAGCCTTAAAAACTTTAGCTAGTTACTTTACACATTTTTTTCCCTTTATGCACATATTTTTAATTTGAAGTATATGCACTTTTCAGGAGTTCTATCACCGGCAGCTACCTCTTGATAAATCTAATCTTCCTAGAGTATTTGGAATGACTGCTTCTCCAATAAAGTCAAAGGGTATTTCAAATTCCTTCATATTTTTTTTTACTTGTACATTATCCAATTCTATTTCCGTTTTTTTTCGGGGGTTACGGCTTCTGAGGTCGTTATAATGAAAAGTTGAACGAGATGCTTTTCCCTTTTCTGATTTTTTTGCGGGGTGGGGCATTGGTAGGTGGCAACTCGGAGTTAATGTGTTGGCAACATATACAAGACCTTGAATCCTTATTGAACTCGAAGGTTAGTACTAAAGTTTGCATGAGTTTACTAAGTAGTTTTGCTATTTTAATATTGATTGCTCATTCACGATTTAGTGCTGTGAAAGACATGCTTCGAAATGAATGCGTTGTTAAACAATATGCCATACTCTCATTAACATGGATTAACCTTTAGAGATTAATCTTTTATACCAAAACATATAATATACATTTTTTCTTACGTCTTATGTGCATCAGTTCACAGAGGCTTGTATCTTGTTTTGGGGCACCTATTGTGTAGATTCCATAGGACTATAGTGCCTCAGGCTTTGGCATATTTAGTTTCTCGTACTCAACTCCGCGACTCTGCTAGGAAAGTTTCATTTGTGTTTCAGTTTGGGGGATTTCTCTTTATACTCTTGTTATTTTAGAATGCGTTGTACCCTCTCTCAAAGAGTTCGCTTCTTCAAGTGCTTGTGAATTGTTCACTTCTTCCCCTCTTCTTTTTCAAGAATTATTTTCTTATTGAGCAGTAATTTGATCATATCTTTTTATCATGCAGGTGTATACTTGTTCCGGTGAATCCGAGCTGGCCAAGTTTGTACCTATTTCAACTCCGAAGTTCAAATTTTATATGCACAAGGACATCCCATATGCATTATATGAACAATTAGCAGAGGGTTTGAAGGTTTTGAAATTAAAGGTGCATATTTCATGTCCATAATTTTCTTTTGTATCATTAAAGTCAATTCTATGAACTAGTATGATATTTGTGGTATGTGATTCTTTAACATTGTTGCTCTATAATGTATGAAAACATCTCTACTTTTCATTTGAAGTTGTCAGTATCATGCTGTCTTATGGAACTATTAAATGGAAAGTGTAATTGATTCAATATTTCATCTGCAAAAATATCATGGCAGAGGATGCAACGGAGCGGCCCCATCAAATTGGGCATTCTTCTTGAACCTTTTTTCAGGGTGTTAAGCCGTTTGTGGAGGATTGTATCTCCTTATAGTATACTGGTATTGAGAGGAAGAAATTGCCCTAAAATAGTACAAAACTCCTGAACATATTTGATAAACTCTCCTTCCTCACCATAACTTTCTACCAAAGATCGAACATGCCTTCTGACGAAGTATATTTGCTACATTCTACCCCAACATTCCATTACAGTGAGCCATCGGTTCCCCCACCATTTCTATCTAACTCTCAACTTGATTGTTTCCTTTCTTGCCCTTTATTGCATATGTGAACGTAGTCGAAGGCCTCCCAAGGACATGCCATACAAAAAACTTAACATTCTTGTGCATTTTCACATTCCACAACGGGGCATATACTTTGCTCAAGGGAGAAGAATTAACCAAACAAAGGAAAAAGGATTTACAAGAGAATTAACCAAACAAAGGAAAAAGGAAAAAGTTCTTGTTGTACTTGTGGCACTTATGGCAGTGTACTTTTGTTTGCAGCATGAACGCTCTCTGGAGAATCCAGATCTCAATCCTTCCAAGGTAGAACCGACTAGAAAACGGATATCAAAAGCTTTCTTGGCTTTGATGTATTGCTTAGATGAACTTGGTCTTTGGTTAGCCTGGAAGGTAGGCGTTTCGATTATTTTGGTTTGTCACTTAGCATTTCTGGCATTACCTGACTTGCACTTCTAACAGGCTGCTGAGTCTTTATCGTGGATGGAAGATGATTTTTCTCCATGGGAAACGTTGGATATATTTGGTGAGGCAATAGTGAAAAGTTTCTTTTCTGATGCCTTAACGCTACTTGCTAGTCCATTTAAATCAGGTACATATGTTCCAGTGTATGATGAATTGGTATGTATATTAGGTTGTTTTCATTCCCCTCTTATTTATTTATTTTTTAATTATCTAAATTTCGACATGCAGGATATTCCTATCAGCCTATAGGTGATAATGTTGAGGCTGATATGGCTGTAGGTCTTATGACTGCAAAAGTTGTTTGTCTCATTGAATCGCTACTTGAATACAGGTATCGGTTTTGTGCATGGTTGTTTCCCTATTCACTGTCGTCTCTTGTGATCTTTTTTATCAATTTTATGAATTCGATTCTTGTTTCCGATCCGTTGCCAATTTTCTCTGCTGCATTAGGATTTTTGCAGGTAATTTGAGGCATGAATAAATCTTAGATGCGAAATTTTGCTTTCAACTTCTTTTGCTTCACCCCTGGTGATCTATCTCATCAATGAGAGCAATCATGTTCTAAATGTTCTGAACCAATTTTGTTCAAGCCACTTTCTAGGGGTGTTCCCTCGGTGTACTCATTTTTGTTTTCTTATTGATTAAGGCGGCACTATCCTGTAGGTCTGTCGAGGATATAAGATGTCTAGTATTTGTAGAAAGAATCGTTACTGCTGTGGCCCTTCAAACACTATTGAGCGTATTGCTCCCAAAACACACTTGCTGGAAGGCCAAATATATAGCTGGAAGGAACTCGGGATTGCAAACCCAGACAAAGCAGAAACAAAATGAAATTGTGGAAGAATTTCGTTGCGGCAAGGTATGCTTTTCTTGGTCTTTCACTCCCTCTACTACTCAATGCTGCATAATGCTTAATTTGACTGGTGAATAACGTTTTCTCAGGTCAACATCATTGTTGCAACCTCGATTCTAGAAGAGGGTTTGGATGTCCAAAGTTGCAATTTAGTAATTAGATTCGACCCGTCATCCACAGTATGTAGCTTCATACAATCTAGAGGACGTGCTAGGATGCAAAACTCAGATTACATCTTGATGGTAAAGAGGTAAAAGTAAATCCTTTTGTACATGTGTTTGTCCTTGTGGTTTTCTTTTTATCTTTGCTACGAGGGATAATTGCTTTTTTAACTTTTTTAGTTGAATTACTTGCTAAAGAATGATCTATTTTTCTCTTATACTCTTTGGTTTACCTTTATGCAGTGGGGATTCTGCCACTCTCTCTCGACTTCAAAGATATCTTGATAGTGGTGAAACTATGCGAAACGAATCTCTACGCCATGCCTCTCTTCCGTGCTTACCTTTTAGAAGTGATTACAATGAGGAATCCTATCGTGTTGAAAGCACTGGTGCGGTTGTGACTCTAAGTTCCAGTGTTGGTTTGATATACTTCTATTGCTCTCGCCTTCCTTCTGATTGGTCGGTCATTTTATATCGTAGTTCATTGTTTGAGAATAACGACACTGCATTCTTGTTTTGTAAATTAGAATGGAAAATTTTCCTTATTTTGTAGTTATTTTAAGCCAACACCACGATGGAATTCAGAAACTCGCACCTTGCAACTTCCTAAGAGCTCTCCTTGTCAGACCTTTTCCAGTAAAGATGACGCTAAATATCCCAAGCAAAGTGCCTGTTTAGAAGCATGCAAACAACTTCATAAGTATGGTGCTTTGACAGATAACCTTGTCCCTGATATGGTTGCTGAAGAAGCTGTGGCCCAAGGAGTTGGTATTTATTTCTAATCTTGTCCCGGTTATGACTTCTTTCGTTTCAGACACGTGGTGGCCATTATAATTCACGAATTTGAACTCTAATTTTACCCAAATTGTTCAGGGAATAAACCACTTGATGAAGAACAACCAATTTATGTTCCACCAGAATTTGTGCATTGTTGTCCCAATAATTCTAGTGGAGTGTATCATTGCTACCTGATTGAATTAAAGCAGAACTTCAATTATGATATATCAGTTCATAACATCGTGCTAGCCATGAGAACCGAGCTTGAGTTCGAAGTGCAAAGCATGTGTCATGACATGGACGTTGACAGAGGAAGCTTGGATGTTAATTTTAAATATATAGGCATTATTAAGCTTAGCCCAGAGCAGGTTCTTTTATGCAGAAGGTTCCAAGCTACAATTTTCAGAGTCTTGTTGAAGCATAAATGGGATATCGAGTTGAGTAAAAATGACGAGATTTGCTTGGGAGATAGTCCTACGGTCGATTATCTTCTGCTCCCTTCAACTGGTGTAGGACTGATTAGCTGGGAGACCGTTCTGTCTGTATTAGATTCATCCATAAAATATTGTGTACATCGTGGTATTTCCTCATTCAAGGGCTTTGCTTACGACGTTCAAACCCAAAACGGACTTGATTGCATTTGCAGACTCGAGAATTCTATCGTGTATACTCCTCATAACGGTTATGTATATTGCATAATGGGTGCTTTGAGTGCACTCGATGGAAACTCATTACTCAAGCTCCGAAAAAACGAAACGATGCTGTCTTACAAGGAGTATTATAAAATGAAGTAAGTTCTTAAAAGTCGTTTAAATTATTAAGTTAGTGCTCGAAGTTCGATTATTGTGTCTGTTTAATCTCTAAGCTTTAAAATTTCAATTCTATTCTTGTACTTTGAACTGTAAGCTTTTGTAGTTCTTATTGTAAAGTTTTGAGTGCACTATTCTTGATGTTTCATTTCACTGATAATCTTGATTTGTTTACTTTGCAGTCACGGCATTGACTTACAGTATGAGAAACAACCATTACTTCGTGGGAAAAAAATATTTACAGTGCATAATCACCTTAAGAAATGTAGAAAACGCGAGGAGGGAGGTAACTTTTATTTCTTCTACTTGCAAAAACCCGACCGTCTATAATATTTTCACGTGTTTCATATTCTTCTACTCGAACAATATTGATTATCTGTTTTTTGCAGTATCAAGTAATTCGCTAGTTGAGCTACCTCCTGAACTTTGTTCTATAATAATGTCTCCCATATCCATCAACACCATATATTCGTATTCATTTCTTCCTTCTATTATGCATCGACTCGAATCGATGCTCATTGCCAGCAACTTGAAAAAGTTGAATTCGGATCATTGCATGCAAAATGACATTCCAACCGTGAAGGTAATTTGTATTTATTTTTTAATGAAGTACTAGGCACTCATAAATTAGCAGAGCCAATTTATAATAGTGGTATTGAGATTTTGTAGTAGTGGTATCAATATGTTCTTGTGACATTTGATGTCACCCAAACTGTTAGCTCATGCTTTCTAATAGAATACCTATTTGAGTCTTGTATTTACTAGTTACCATTTGTTCTTATTCTTAGACATGTTTGGATTTTAAAATAGTTAAAATGACTTGTGTTGTTCAAAATCACCCCGAAACATGTATTAATGTGTGAGATCCCACATTGGTTGGAGAGGAGAACGAAACATTCTTTATAAGGGTGTGGAATCCTCTCTCTAGCAGACACGTTTTAAAAACATTGAGGGAAAGCCTGAAAGGGAAAGCTCAAAGAGAACAATATCTGCTAGCGGTGGGCTTGGGCTGTTAGAAATGGTATTAGAGCCAAACACCGTGCGATGTGCTAGTGAGGGGGTTGAGCCTCAAAGGGGGGTGGACACGAGGCGGCGTGCCAGCAAGGACGTTGGGCCATGAAGGAGGGTGGATTGTGAGATCCCACATCAGTTGGAGAGGAAAACGAAAGATTCTTTATAAGGTTGTGGAAACCTCTCCCTAGCAGACGCGTTTTAAAAATCTTGAGGGAAAATCCGAAAAGGACAATATTTGCTAGCGGAGTAATTGGGTTGCACTATTTCGAAACCTCTCCCAAACATGCTCTTTAATAATTGAGCCCTTTAGTTATCTTGTTGGCTCCTTTTGTTCTGGGCAGCTTTTTTATTTTATTTTTACTCTCTCTGTATTGCATGTTGTGTATCTTTGCATTTTCTGTATGGAACTATGATTCTTCACTAATATATAAAGTATGCTTATTTATGCCAACAATATTTCTTTGTCACAGGTCTTGGAAGCAATAACAACAAAAAGCTGCCAAGAGAAATTTCATCTAGAATCCCTCGAGACTCTTGGCGATTCGTTTCTTAAATACGCGACTGGTCAACATCTTTTTAAAGCTTTTCAGAAAGATCATGAGGGCCTTCTTAGTCTAAAGAAAGATAGAATAGTTTGTAATGCTGCTCTCTGTAAGCTTGGATGTGAACACAAAATTTCGGTAGTTTCGTCATGAACCATAGTTAACTGCTTTACTTATTTGCGACAGTACGAAGTGTATTGATTTTAGTTCTCGTATTCTTTTGTCGATGTTTCAGGGCTTTATTCGAGACGAGGCTTTCGATCCTCAAAAGTGGGCGATTCCTGGTGATACACTTGAGGTTCACCAATTAACAGAGGAAGTGCTTTCTAATGGAAGAAAAGTTTATGTTCGAAGAAAAAGAAAGGTAAAAGGTAAGAGGATAGCTGACGTTGTTGAGGCGCTAATCGGTGCATATCTTAGCACTGGTGGGGAAAGGGCAGCGATTCAGTTTCTAAATCGGATCGGTATAGAAGTGTATTTTGATATTGTACCTTACGAGAGACCTTTTAGCGTCGATGCTCACAAGCTCATTAATGTTAGACATTTAGAGTCCCTGCTGAATTACACATTCAATGATCCCTCATTGTTGTTAGAAGCAATGACTCATGGTTCATATATGCTTCCAGAAATTCCAAGATGTTATCAGGTAACATAATGACATCAAATATGTGTCTTTGAAAACTGGCTTTCTTCCCTCTATTAAATGTAAGTAATGAACTCATTTGCATGCAGCGACTGGAATTTCTTGGAGACTCGGTATTAGATTACGTCGTTACCGTGCATTTGTACAACAAATATCCCGGAATGTCACCGGGATTGTTGACTGACATGAGGTCGGCGTCCGTGAGCAACGATTGTTATGCACGAACTGCAGTAAAGGCTCAGCTGTACAAAAGTATACTACATTTGTCTCATGACCTCCACAGGCATATTAGTTCGACTCTTAGAAACTTCGAGATGTCGTCTTCTGAAGCAACGTACGGATGGGAATCTGAGACTTCTTTACCCAAGGTTAGTTCTTATAGTCGTTTTTTTTACACATACTAAATAAAGTTAAATGTTGGATGACTGCTTGTTCATATTTTTACAAGAAATAGTTTATGAATCGAATTATATGGGAGAGAGATAAGCTACTTGAGGCAAACCAGTACTGAAATTTTATTTAAATGATCAAAAGTCCTCCCACAATTACAGCAGCTTCCATTCTATAGAAGGAAGCTTAACCCACAGAACGACTCGACCTCCTAAACCGATAAGTGAACTTACGTAACCGGTTACATCCCTTCTAAAAGAACTGCCCAGCCTCCCAACAACGTTGAAGTAGGTTGCTGTAAAAAGACTTGATTCCCAAAGGTAAAAAGACTTTAACCACAATGACAAGAAACACAAAGATTCGACAAGAAAACTCGAGATATATGTAAATGTAACGGCCCAAGCTTATCGCTAGTAGATATTGTCCTCTTTGGTCTGTTGTGTATTGCTGAGTCTCATGGTTTTAAAATGCATTTGCTAGGGAGAGGTTTCCACACCTTTATAAAGAATGCGTCTGCCAGATATTATTCGCTTTGACCCATTACATATCACCATTAGCCTCACAGTTTTAAAATGCATCTGCTAAAGGGAGGTTTCCACACCCTTATAAGGAATGCTCCGTTCCCTTTTCCAACCAATGTGGGAACTAACAATCCACCCCCCTTGGGAACCCTGTGTCCTCATAGGGTAGGGCTCTGATACCATTTGTAACTGCCCAAGTTCATCATGAGTAGATATTGTCCATTTTGGTCCATTGCGTATCACCGTCAGCCTCACGGTTTTAAAACACGTTTGTTAGGGAGAGGTTTCCACACCCTTATAGGGAATGCGTCTGCCAGATATTATTCGCTTTGACCCATCACTTTGGCCCATTACATATCACCGTTAGCCTCACAGTTTTAAAATGCATCTGCTAGAGGGAGGTTTCCACACCCTTAAGGAATGCTCCGTTCCCTTCTCCAACTAATGTGGGAACTAACAATCCACTCCCTTGGGAGCCCAGCATCCTCATTGGCACACTACTCGGTGTCAGGCTCTGATACCATTTGTAACAGCCCGAGCTCATCATGAGTAGATATTGTCCATTTTGGTCCGTTACGTATCACCGTTAGCCTCACGGTTTTAAAACACGTTTGCTAGGGAGAGGTTTTCACACTCTTATAAGGAATGTTCCGTTCCCCTCTCCAACCGATTTAGAATCTCACAGTAAAACCGGTGGATAGATACACCTCTGCCTCACCATGAACCTAAGGATAACTAAAGAGTTGTTGCAGAAGAATTTGATATTCTTACAAAGAAAATACAGATCATGAGAATTACATTGAAGATGCATTTGAATGTTCATACAGGTTTTTGGAGATGTGATCGAGTCTTTAGCTGGAGCAATATACGTAGACTCGGGATACAATAAAGATAAGGTGTTCGAGAGTATACGTCCACTTTTAGAACCGTTAATATCGCCCGAAACGGTGAAGATGCATCCAAGAAGAGAGTTAAATGAGGTATGCCAAAAGATGAACTACAACTTAAAAAAAACTGTTACTTCTCGTGTGAATGGAAAAACACACGTTACAGTTGAGGTTGAAGCCAATGGGAGGATATTCAAACATACAGCAATCTCTTTGGATAAGGAGACTGGAAAGAAGGTTGCTTCCAAAGAAGTTCTCAAATCTCTAAAGGACTCCTATGGTCCTTTCCTATAGTGCTCTTACAGGTGCTGTTTTTCCTTGTTCATTATTGTATTAAATATATCGATATTCATATCAGGTGTATTATCGATCATATTAGGTGTGTTGTCGATAAATTATGTATTGTCTTGCTCTATGTTTGTTAAGGCAATATTGGACTTTTGTTTTAGGTGATTCTTCTTGCTATTTTTGGGTCATTTAATGCTCAGATTACATGTAGGGTGAAATCCGTTATCTTTCCTTGTAATGGCCTAAGCCTACCGCTCGCAGATACCCTTCAAGATTTTAAAACGTGTCAATTAGAGAGAGGTTTCCACCCTCTCCAACCGATGCGGAATTTCACAATCCACCCCAATCCAAGCCCACTGCCTTTCTTTTCCCTCAAGGTTTTAAAACATGTCTACTAGGGAGAGATTTTGACACTCTTCTAAACAATGTTTCGTTCTCCTCTCCAATTGATATGGGGTCTCACAATCTACCTCAATCCACCCCCTCTGGAGCCTAGCGTTCTCATTGATACTCGTTTCTTTCTCCAATTGATGTGGGATCTCACAATCCACCTCCCTTTGGGGCTCAGCCTCCTCGTTAGCACACCGTTCATTGTCCACCTCCTTCAGGGCTCAGCCTCCTCGTTTGCACACCGTTCATTGTCCACCTCCTTCAGGGCTCAACCTCCTCGTTTGCACACCTTTCAGCGTCCACCCCCTCCGGGGCTCAGCTCCCTCAATGGGAAATCTCACATTCTTCTTCACTTGGCTCCTACACAATTAGAAACAACATATCTCCCTCGGTGCAAATTCTCCAACCGATGTGGGATCTCACAATCTATACTAATCCACACAATCAAAGTCCACCGCTAATAGATATTGTCTTATTTCGACTTTTTCTCCTGGGCTTTTCCTCAAGGTTTTAAAACATGTCTATTAGGGAAATATTTCAACACCCTTATAAACAATGTTTCGTTCCTCTCTCCACCTGATATGGGGTCTCACAATCCACCTCAATCCACCCCCTTTTAAGCCTAGCGTTCTCACTGACACCCGTTTCTTTCTCCAATTGATGTGGAATCATCTCACAATCCACCCCCCTTCAGGGCTCAGCCTCCTCGTTTGCACACCGTCCAGTGTCCACCCCTTTTGGAGTTCTTGTAGTTAAATAAAACCTAAAACACTCCGACGAAGATTTTGAGTTAAAAAATAGTAATCTTTACACTTTTTTAGACTATAGCAATTAAATTCTAAAATTCAATTTAATTAAAATGTTGGAAATGGAAAAATAAAATGATATTTTAATCTAAAAATATTTATCCAAATAAATTTTTTATTCCTATTTATATAACATTTTCCCAAAATTCTCAGCGTCATCTTCTTCGTCCTCTCACTCTCAACGCCTCTGCTACAAGAACAATGACAATGGCTTCCTGTTCCATCCCTCTCCTCAATCTCTCTATCAAACCCGCCATTAAAGCCGCACTAATACCTCACTACTCCGCCATCAAATCTCGCCACTGTTTTTCTCTCCCCCTTCTTCCCTCCAAACCCGCAAAATCTCCCGCCATTCGCATGTCCTACAACCCTACTCCGGCCACCGACCGCCTCATCTCCGCCGTCGCCTACACTCTCCCCTTCTTCAACTCCCTCCAGTATGGTCGCTTCCTCTTCGCTCAGTACCCGGTTCTCGGCCTCGCCTTCGAGCCGCTGCTCCCGATTCTAGGGCTTTATCGCTCGATCCCGCACTCGAGCTTCATCGCCTTCTTCGCCTTCTACTTGGGCGTGGTCCGTAACCCTAGCTTCAGTCGCTACGCGAGGTTCAATTCGATGCAGGCGTTGACTCTGGACGTGCTGCTGGTGGTGCCGTTGTTGGTACAGAGGATTCTGAGTCCCGGTCAAAGCGGATTAGGGTTCCAGATCATGGCTTGGAGCCATAATGGATTGTTTGTTTTCAGTGTTTTGTGCTTTCTTTATAGTGTGGTTTCCTGCATTCTGGGTCGAACCCCTCACCTACCCATTGTTGCTGATGCTGCTGGCAGGCAGGTTTAGCTTCAGGTTTGTTCATCAACCTTTTCTCTCTTGTTTTGGGGAATTTTTGGATTGAGAAGTTCGTAATGTAGGGTTTTGATTTTTCTCCAAAATTAATGAAGTTCTGAAAGTTTTGGGAGAAATCTGAAGCCAATCAATGGAAGATTTATAAGAAACGAATTGAAAAGTTTATTTTGATTGTGCATTTCTGATTACAAGAGATTTTTGCAGCCTGTACCTATAAGTTTGTAAAGCATTTGTGTAAGGGGAAGCTTTAGATGATGAAGATCATTCATACATAGCCTTAAATACAACTTGGTCAGCGTGATTCATTTAGGTCCCATTTCATTCGGTTCACCATTACTTTGAGAATGGCCCTCTTGAACTCTGTTCTTTTCTTTGGTCCATCATTCTCATTTTTATCAGTTTTTGTGATCAAATTTTTAGCATGACATTCATTCAACCTTAAAAAAGTGTTTCCTGGTTCAATTTTGCAAATAGGGATCAAAATGAACAAGGATGAAATTCAAAAGTGGGATGATCGAAATAGAAAACGAGAGAGGATGATACAGTAGAGAGCGATGATGATACGGTAAAGATTGGCACACACTCTTATCGAAGAAATTAGTGACAATGGGGTAATCTAATCTTGATTATTAGTATGCTTGTGCGTAAATTGATCCTCATACACATTGAAAATTCTTACCCATCATGTTGAGGATTTGAACATGTTCCATTGGAGGATGAAAGTCCCCTAATTAATTTAGGGAATGATTATGGGTTTATAACTAAAGAATACTCTCTCCATTGGTACGAGACTTTTGGAGAAGTCCAAAGCAAAGCCATTATGCTCATAGTGGACAATATCATACTATTGTGGAGAGTCGTGTTCGTCTAACATGGTATCAGAGCCATGCCCTAATGTCGAACAAAGGACTCCAAAAGAAAAGGAGTCGAGTCGCGATTAAGGGCTGACGTACTTTATTCGAGGGGAGGTGTTGGATGATGAAAGTCTCACATTGCTAATTTAGGGAATGATTATGGGAGAGTCGTGTTCGTCTAACAAGGAAGATGATGAATATAAGAATGAAGTCAATATATTCATAACACGGACGAAGATACTAAGACATTTGTCGAGTTTGACAACTTGTATTAGGGTCATGTTCGAGATTTTAACGATATAAAATGAAATTCTTATAAAATAGTGTGAATATTGAGAACGAGGTAGGTGAAAAATCGAAATCCGATAATACAAATTTATAATTTTATTTTAAGAAATCCACGATTTTTATACAACTGCTACATAACCAAAAAAAGAAAAAAGAAAAAAAAAGCAATTTGTTGTTGCATGGAAGATCAAATGGCCTATTGCGAGAGAGTTTTCAGTGCCTTACAATCCCAAGCGAAGGAACGAGCGCTACTCATTCCACGCCACCGCGCGCACCTTTGGGCCTCAAACTGCCAACACAGTGTGCAAGCCCGCAGAAAAGAAAGGCAGCAGAGATGCTGAGCAGAGCAGCGACAGCGGCTTCTCATTCCCTCATTGTTGCTTCTTCCAGAAATGCATCCAAATCCTTCGTCAATTTGAACTGCAACATCCCCCGATTCTTGGGTTTCAAGCAGCTTTCACGCAGTCTATACGGTTGTTCCTGTTCCTGTTCTGGGTCTCTGAGTTTCCGATGGAATAGTAGCAGTAAGAGGAAGTTCAATAGATCTAGAATGGAGGGCTTCGCTGTTCGTGCTTCAGCTCAGCCACTCAAGAACGCCGATGAACTCATTGATTCTGTGGAGACATTTATTTTCGACTGCGATGGTGAGTTATTCTCCCATTTCTCCCACGAGTTCGTTTGATTTTTGTAAATTTTTAGGGATGATATGAAGATTCCAAAAGGATCAATCTAGAGAGCTGGAGAGTTGAAGCAGACTCTTCTTGCATTGTTGAAAGGATTGCCATTAAGTTATAAGTTTGATTCAGCTCCTGTTTGCTTATGATTGTAGGAGATTCATTTTAGAACTCGTCTTTTGTATATTGTCTATGAGCATGAATTATAGTAGGACTCAACTCCTATAGGAATCATTTCACTTTTTTGATATTTGAGGTGCCAAATTCCCATTGAGCTTCGAGAAAAGGGACTCCTACCACCAAGAATTGACCCAATGGTCAATAAGAGTCTATATATGTAACAGCCTAAATCCACCGCTAGCAGATACTGTCCTCTTTGGGCTTTCCCTTTCGGACTTCCCTTCAAGGTTTTTAAAACGTGTATGCTAGGGAGAGGTTTCCACACTCTTATAAAGAATGCTTCATTACCCTCTCCAACCGATGTGGGATCTCACAATCCACCCTCCATTTGGACCCAGCATCCTCGCCAGTATTCGTTCCTCTTTCCAATCAATGTGGGACTGCTCGATGTCTGTCTCTGATACCATTTCTAACAACCCAAACCTACCGCTAGTAGATATTGTCCTCTTTGTGCTTTCCCTTTCGGGCTCCCCTTCAAGGTTTTTAAAACGCGTCCTAGGGAGAGGTTTCCACACCCTTATCAAAATACTTCATACCCCTCTCCAACCGATATGGGATCTCACAATCCACCCCTCTTCAGAGCCTGGCGTCCTTGCTGGTATTCGTTCCTCTCTCCAATCGATGTGGGATTTCACAATCCACTCCCCACACACCACCCGGTGTCTGACTTTGAAACCATTTATAACAGCCCAAGCCCACCGCTAGTAGATATCATCCTCTTTGTGCTTTCCCTTTCGGGCTTCCCTTCAAGGTTTTTAAAACACGTCTGCTAGGGAGAGATTTCCACATCCTTATAAAAAATACTTCATTCCCCTCTCCAACCAACATGGGATCTCACAATATATATATAATAAAGAGCTTAGAGGGAATGGACACAAGCCATGGTAGCTTTTGATTACCTATTTAGGATTTAGCACTCTACAAAGTTCCTTAGCAACTAAATGGTAAGGTGGCAAGGACACTCACGGATGTTCTGGCTTGTTTAGAAGGCTGATTGTGAGTCGAAGATGCAATAGGGAAGCCCATTCCCAAATCCATTGATTTTGCAGGCCTCCTTGACAGAAATAAGTTCTTGTGAGGAGAGGCTATAACCAACATTTTCATTGAAATTATTTTGTTTTTCGCATCATGAAAAGAACCAAGAATCTCATGGCTTCACTTGAATGATTTAACTGCAGGGGTTATATGGAAAGGAGACAAACTCATAGATGGCGTTCCAGAAACGCTTGATATGCTTCGATCAAAGGTATAAATATACATTTTCTAACCCACTTTTGGTAACTTATTGCCTTATGAGTGAAAACTATGCAAAATTCTGTAGTTTCCTTCAGTTCATGGATTGTTTTGCGATTTTTTCTCTCTCTTTTTAAACAATTTCAGGGGAAGCGATTAGTTTTCGTTACCAACAATTCGACGAAGTCGAGGAAGCAGTATGGCAAAAAGTTTGAGACACTTGGTCTTAGTGTCACTGAGGTCAGTGACTTAAAGCTCTCAAGCTCTGTCTGAAATTGTAATGTTAAGAGAATTCGAATATTTCAGGAAGAAATTTTTGCATCATCTTTTGCTGCCGCGGCATACTTGAAGTCCATTGATTTCCCAAAAGAGAAGAAGGTACTCGTTTGCTTCGGCTATCTTTTATACATCGGTCGGAGAGGGGAATGAAACATTCCTTATAAGGGTGTGGAAACCTCTTCCCTAGTGAACACGTTTTAAAATCTTGAGTGAAAGCCTAGAATGGAAAGTCCAAACAGGTCGGGCTCCCAGGGGGATGGATTGTGAGATCCCACATCAGTTAAAGAGAGAAACAAAATATTCCTTATAAGGGTGTGGAAACCTCTCCCTAGCAGACGCGTTTTAAAATCTTGAGGGGAAGCCCGTGAAGGGAAAGCCCAAAGAAGACAGTATCTACTAGCGGTGGGCTTAAGCTGTTACGAGATCTGAACCTATGACTTTTAACTAACACAGAAATGCCTTAACCATTGAACTTAGCTCATTTCGACATTATTTCATCCTGGACTTGTGACTTTGTGATGTCAGGTTTATGTGATTGGTGAGGATGGCATCTTGAAAGAGCTTGAACTCGCTGGATATCGGTACCTCGGTGGACCGGTATGTCCTGCCACCTCTATGTGACCTGTTCTTATTTGCAAGTTTGTGATGCTTACTTTGGCAGTGATTGGCTAGCATGATAAACGATGTTTCTTATATCATATAAACTTAAAGATTACTATAATTTGTCAGGATGGTTAGGTGTGTTGTTATAGAGTAAATATGTTATGTTCTTACAGGATGATGGTGGGAAGAAGATAGAACTAAAGCCAGGCTTTCTGATGGAGCACGATAAGGATGTACGTTTCTAATCTTTCATGCTTTATATACAAATTTCTTGTTTCAACCTATTGAGAGGGCGTTTTAGAGACTCTCTGAACTCCTACCGCTTGTAACAGCCCAAGCCTACCGCTAACAAATATTATCCTCTTTGGGCTTCCCCTCAACGTTTTAAAACGTGTCTACTAGGGAGAAGTTTTCATACCCATATAAGGAATGCTTCGTTCCCCTCTCCAACCGATATGGGATCTCACAATCCATCCCTCTTGGAGGACCAACGTCCTCGCTGGCACATCGTCTGGTGTCTAGCTTTGATACCATTTGTAGCAACTCAAACCCACTGCGAGCAGATATTGTCCTTTTTGGGCTTTTTCTTTTGGACTTTCCTTCAAGATTTAAAAACGCCTCTATTAGGGAGAGGTTTCCACACCTATATAAGGAATGCTTCGTTCCCCTCTCCAACCGATGTGGGATCTCACAATTCAACCCTCTTGAGGGCGTAACGTCCTCGCTGGCACACCGTCTGGTGTCTGAATCTAATACCATTTGTAACAATCTAAGCCCACTGCTAGCTGATATTGTCCTCATTGGGCTTTCCTTTTTGGGCTTCCCCTCAAGGTTTTAAAACACGTCTACTATAGAGAGGTTTCCACACCCGTATAAGGAATGCTTCGTTCCCCTCTCCAACCGATGTGGGATCTCACACTGCTCCACCTTGACAATTACATATTGTTATCCTTTGGATTACCCTTCTTCGTCACATTTCTTATTCCTTTCTGATATAAACCAAATAGCTAAAATATATTGGAAGATACAAAAATAGAAGAACTAGAGTAACTCCCAAGTGATTCGAGATGTTTCGGCCCTCCGTCTTGAGATCACTCGAGCCAAAACCAACTAAACCAATGCTTTACCTTCCACTAACCCTATTGATATTCCTAACTATCCGAATGTCGTTCCTATCAGTTTCATAACCTAATCTAACTCGGGCTAACTTTATTCAATCGTGAATCATCTATTTACCCTCATTTCCACCCCCCCCCCCCCCCCCCCCCC